AAAATAAGTTTGTTGCATGTGCTTCGATAAGTTATATTAAATGTTTGAACTTATTGTCTAGAATGTTGCATGAACAAGAAATAAAATAAACTTAGATCAAGCACAATCCTCTTCAAAAAACTGGTAGAGGTAACAAGGTCAAACATAAAAAAATAAAATATTGATGCTCATGTACTTGCTAAGACTAACTTAAACTTGTCTCCTTTATAATCCACCCCAAATCTATAAAATCTCTTTGGTTGGGTCCACTAACATCCTATGACAAAGTAGACTAGGGGCTATGACAACCCAAAAGGATCTTAATCATGTTCGCCATTTTTTATATACTTCACTAAACATTTAATAAACACTACCGTTGCCAGGTCCTAAAAGTCATGAATGAGAAAAGTAGGGGATTCGGTAGATAGTCGACAACCAGCGTAAAACTTGTCGAATAATCATGACATGAATCTTTAAAAATTTTTGCGAAAAAGGATACAATCGTAGCCGAACCCCACATAGTGGTACAGGCTTGATGTTTTGTTGTATTAAACATTTAATATAAGATATAAATATTTTTCTTCAAATTCATTCTATTTAATACAATATATACAGAGTTTTTATATATCATGAAGGCTTACAGTTTTTTGTCTATTTTTAAAAATAAAGTAAGCAGTCCCTAAGTTCTAAGAGGCTATTAAAAAAAACGTGAATAATGTTAAAACTTAAAACAAAAACTAATCAAAACCGACTTTATTCTGGGGTAGCCCACCGTGGGGCTCGAACCCACGACCACAAGGTTAAGAGCCTTGCGCTCTACCTACGAGCTAGAGGGCTTTGTACATGGTTTCAACTTTTAATAAATAACAATAATTATTTTGTTCTTGTTCCGCCTGCATCAATACGCAAGCAAAATCCTTAAAAAATAAACACCTTACATTCAACACCGAAGAAAATGCGACTACCGTTTTGAAAATGAATTTATGTTGAATTATTTGTTTTTATCATCATAAATATATTATATAATATAGTAATGGTTTTTTTCTTTTTTATAAATTATAAGTATTAATACCTTAGTTGGTAAAATTTTTATAATTATCACTTATTACATTAAAATATTAGGAGCAATGTTTTAAAAAAGGAGCACCTTAATTAACAAAATTAATATAAGGAGCATCTAGTAATTAAAATTTAAATATAGCAAATTCACAAAAATTTGATGCATTCTGAATGTACCAAATTATTTGTTGTATTCAACTTAACAGAAAAAGAGGACGGGAGAGAGAGCTAACTAAGGAGAAGAGCTGATTGGTGAGCAATAGAGAGTTTAACTAGAGAGAGAGAGCTTTATATCTAATATTTAATATTCAGTAAAAATATAATTTAAATATTTAATTAATAATTATTTAGCTATTCCTTTTAAATAATATTTAAACATATAACCAATCCAATATAAATATATTTTCAAATATTAGTAAAAATATTAATTTAATATTAATTTAAAATAATTATTTTAACTATTATTTTAAATGTTAATAATATAATTATAATAATTTTAGGGAACTATTGTTTAATATTATGAATCCTTTGGGAACTTTAGACCTTGTTTATCCGATGCTTGTCCTAAATAAAAAATTTAGTAAATCATAAAATTGTTAAGAGGATTTAACTTAAATCCATAAGAATCATGGTTCTTATTTTTCACATATCGTCCACACCTACTTTATTTTATTATGAATTTTTTAATTAGTTCTAATAATGATTTCTTTTTCTAGAGGGAAAGTGGTATTTTTTATTGAGATTTTGATTACTTTCATTAATTAAGTACTTTATTATATAAATAAGAAAATTTCAACATTAAATGTATAAATAAAGAATTTTGACTGCCAAATCAGAACTAATCGCCGTTGGCTCGTGCCTTAAAATCGAACAGATTAACCTAGCAAGCCAACGTTGCCAGACCTTCCTCGCGGACGGAGTCTTCTCCTCCGACTCACTTTGTATCGTAGTTCTGCAATCGAGCTCCGATTTGTTTGAGAAGCGCCGGTGCTTCTATGGCTCACGGCGGCTTCGCCCAGAGCCGCGTGGAGGAACGGCGGCAGCTTGGTTGTCGACCGAAGGGCTTGGGGGTGGATAAGAAGAAGAAGAAGAAGGATTCTATTTCTCTTAAGAACCAGATACGATCCACGGAGCGTTTTCTTCGCAAGGTAGAAGGAAGAATCTCCGTGTACTGAAGAATTTTTTGATAGTTTTATTAAATTTATTTCTCGGTGTAATTAGTGATTTCTGCTTGGTCAGTTGCGAGTAGCTGTTGAGCTATTAGAGGGATATTGTTTGTTTGCTTGTTGATTCCACATCATTTTTTTTTTTTGATCCGTCGCTTAAAGTTTGGTGTTATTAGTTTGAGTGTGGTTGTGAGCGGATGAGGGTTCCACAATTGCGGGAGTCTGTTTGTTGGGCATACTGCTTCTTGCCTGGTTATGAAATCGTTTAGGGATGAGGATATGGTAATCTACATGCGGAATGTTGCAAAATGTAGATCTATTTTGTTTACAAGAATGATCATGTATATCGAATAATTGGAAAAGTTTTTTATGATTGATCTTTCTATGAATTCCTTAATGTAACAATGTTAAGGACCCCTTGGCTACAAATACGAGAAGTGGCCTCCGTAGGTTCTGGAGGTGAGTGTGAGAGAATTGTTCTTTTGTTTTCTGCTTTTAAATTCACTTCTTCTGTTTGTTTCTGTAGAATGTGAGTAAATGTAGTAAAAAAAGATACGTCCTTCAACTTTTTGTAACTTTGGAAGAAAAGGAGTAGAGTTCATCGTCCACTTCCATTTTGGGTTGTCAGTTAGGATTTAGGAATCACATGTACATGTGTTTTGATCTATGCTGGCTTCTAGGATTTCCAACTACAGACTCCCATTTTCTTGAAACAGAGGGACCCTATTAACCAAATGTTGTTTGACTTCAACCTGAGCAATAATATTGGCATATATTTCGATAGCTTTATCCACTTATAAGTTATAAGTTAGGTGTTCATGAAAGGAATAAAATGGTGTATACATTTTCTCCAAGTAGGTTATTCTTTTAGTGTTTTTCATGGTTTTCGGAACAATGATTTGACTAAACATTTTTGTTAAAGCAATTGATGCCACCTGGGATGCGTAGATATGGATCCATGGACATAGCTACATGATAAGTCTATTATTAGAAATATTGGACAAAGACACGCTTTGGACATGTATTACAATTTTTATGTCTTAAAAAAAATTAATGCATAGAAATTAATATTCTCGAATACTTCAAAAACCTTTGGTTGAGAGCTTATTATCGTTTATTGTATATTGCATATAAAAATACATCAAAACCATATAGCCGAATGTTAAGATTCTTAAAATGCATCATATTAAGATTCTCAAATTACTTCAAAATGGAAAAATATTTTTATTAAGGTATTACACACATGTCCATTTTTCTTTTTATTTTTTATTTTTTCCATTTAGTCATCTGATGTATACTACATCCATCAGATACGTGTCAGGCGTGTGTTCGTGTTCAACACATATTAGATACCACATATCCTTATAATTTCAAATGTTGGTGCATCATAGGTTTTTATCAATGAAAGATCAATTGCAGAATGTAATCTTCTTGGAAAATAGCAATAAATGAACATGTAAAGTATCATGGAGTTGCTTCTAAGTCTTTTATTTTGTATTTTCATGCACCCTTGGTGGTGGCTTTGGAAAATACATGAAAAGATCTTTAATAAATTCTTTTTTATTGCCTCTTTCTTATGAATGCTTTTCATTACAACCATATATCTATGACATTTAAGAAGTTAATTTAAAGTCCTTGGAATTTTGTGTTTTGATATAGCTTCATACTTGGTGATGTTGCAATCAGGCATGGTTTAAAAAATTGGATCAAAATGGCTAATTTAATATGTTGAATAGTGTATTAATTATTTGGCCGGTGATCGGTCTAATCTCTTAATTGAATTGCCACAACTTAGAACTGGAATTGAACTGGTTAGCATTGGGATCAAATTGGTGAATTGGTGGGGGTTTCATTGTACCACATAATTGTTATTCATATCAAATTATCATAATTTATTTTCAATAAAATTAAATTTAAAGGATTATGTCTTCTCAAGTGAATATGTGCTTAAGAGGTTCTAGCCTATGTTGCACCGATACGGATACGACGACACGAATACGACACGATACGGGGCACATCAATTCTTAAAAATTTAGGATACGGGTACGGCGCGGACACGACATTATAATTTATAAATCATACATAAAAATTAAGAAAGCAATCAAAGCATAATATTTGAAATTACAAAGAAAAAATGAAAGTAACCTCATTTGTAGCCTTGTTGCTTATAATATCAAAATAAAAGTAAGCATTAAATGTATAGTACAAGTGTACAACAAGAAAAGCATAAACATAAATTGTCTAGCACATGAAGTTTCAACTATTCAATAGAATGAATGATATGATTAGCTTCTTCAGTGGTTTGTCTTTGAACTTCTATATCATCTTCAATAAATATCATAGCTTCTAATTCAGGCTCATCAAGTGAAAAATTAGCAATTTCTAATATTCTCATATCATCAAGAGATTCAAATCCATCTTGAAAATGAGAGAACCTCGCTCCCAGCCGCCAAAGTAATTATGACGGGTCTTTTTTTTTTCGGATTTCTTTTTGTTTTTCAATGGAAATACGTATCAAATATGCATGTCCTTTTGAAATTAAATAGTATTTTAATTGGATACGGCTTTGCAGTATCCGACACGTATTAGTGCCATATCGGGGGTGTATCTGTGTTTCAGTGTATCAAATACAACATGCCTTCATAAATAGGTGTATCGGTGCAACATAGGTTCTAGCTCAAGAGCACTTGCCTCACACATTTATATGACCTGAGTATTGTGCCCAGGTGGTCACCAACTCAAGAAAAGGACTTATCTTCGAAGGCTCGTCTAGCACGATCTGTCTTGAGGACTCGCCCTTCTCGACTCGCTGACAAACACTCGACAAAGGGAGATCGCCCCAAACTGAAAGTTGGGCCAAAGGAGAAGAACCGCACAGATCACCTATCAGATTGTGACACATGTTATGAATAGCGAGCACTCGATCACATTTATTAATTACTTTTATCCTTTTGGTGTAATCTTTTCTGTAGCCCTTTGATCCCTATAAATAAAAAATGAAGAGATATATTTTGGAATTTTGGGAAGCCTTATTGATTTTGCAGAGCATTATTATGAGATTCTCTTAGCTCTTTTTCTAGATTTCTTGAATCTCCACCTTTCCTCTCCATACTCACTCTTGGCTCTCAAGTTCTGTCTCTTGAGATTGCTTGATAATAGGATATGGTATCATTCGTGGACAAAATTTGATCCAATAGTAGCCTAGTCAAATTCTGAATTCCTTCCTAACTCGCAGTTGCAGCCTTGCTTTTTGGCGGTTTGTCGACGCCAGCTTTTCCCTTTAGTTGCGGCCTTCACAGGTTCATCCGCTTTGTAGATACACATAGTTCATTGGCCTTTGTTTGTGAATCATAAGTTCATTGGCTTTAGAAACTAATTAATGTTTAATTCTTCATTTCTCGCTACTTCTACTTTCTTTACAAATATTTTTAGAATTATCTAAATAGTAACAAGAAACCTTCCTCATATAAATATGAATGTCCTAAAAGTCAGAAAATGATAACAGCCTTACTGTTACTTAACGTTAATAATTATATTTCTGAAAAGCAATGAATTTATAGTATTGTGATATTGTCATTTTATTTTACATGAAATGGCAATTATAAATAACAAAAGATATTTCCTGTGCATGATCTATATTTCATAATGCACTACTATTTTTTTTGTCACATATTTATACTATTACTACATAATTTTAATCATATATAAATGATTTTAATGTTTATTACACCATTTAGCGTAACTTTTGGTTGGTTGAACCTTTGAATATTGAACCTCTCCTTTTGGTTCAATGTTTGATCCAATTTTCTGAACCTTGCAATAAATTTGATTGAACATATGACATTCTTTAACTTGGATCTAGAAAGCTATTTAATCTTAATTGATTTGTATTGATTGGAATTAGGTTAAAGAGTCCAACGTGCTTTTCTTCATTTGTACTAGGAATAGGCTTTACATTGTATTCATGCATATATAACTTGATTTTTTACACCTCTTAGAGCCATGTAATCTTGTTGATTTTCAGAGGTATTATGTTAATTTTTTCTAATCTAATAGCTAAAGAGGAAAGTACCTGGTGATTTGCGTTCTTTATTATTTTACATTCCATCGAAATAGGGACTTTCTAATTATGTCTTGTGTTAATGAAAAACTCACTTTTTTCAAATGCCCACCAAATAACTCTTTCCCGATATCTTCTTCACATTAATTTTTAACAAATTTTGGACTGCTAATTTGTAATTTAATTAGATATAAGTCTTATAGAGCTTGAGAGTGTTTAATATTTCATCATATAACTTGATATTTTGTAATGATAGTTTCTATGACTAACTCTTTCCAAAAGGATGTAAAATATTGACTTGAATGTTGTTTCAAGTTCATAACTTAATTTTAACGCTTTGCAACTTACAAAGATGAAGAGAAAAATGTTCCCCATTGAAGCTACTACAAACTATGGCTCTAAAAGATTAACGCTTATTAATGTTTGGAAACTTGAAGTTTTTTCAATCGATAGATCTAGTTTTTGTCGAACATTGATTCAATAGTTTGATGACATTCAAAGAGTTAGGGGGCTTTTTTGTCAAGCCCCAATATCTGAAGTGAAAGAATTACATTTTTACTCTCTTTTTCTTTTTCAATTTATTAACAACCAATACTCATTCATTTACAACCAGATCAATTTGACATCTATAGCTGATTAATTACATTAAAGAAAATAAATAAACAACATGAAAAATATAATTGCATTCCTACTATCAAAAATATATATACAATAGCCACAACAGACTACTAAAGAGCTTATGTAAACTCAAAAAATTGAACATGGAACTAAACTAGCACTTTTGTCTAGTCTCATATTGCAGATTCCTTACCTTTACCTGGAATCATATAAAAATCATGTAATGAGCTTATAAAGTCTAACAAGTAACCAAAACTTATCATTGCCTTTAATGCAAGAAAAAGGATTCAATATGCTTATTTTAGTTCTAATTGATATCAATCATCAATTAATATGTGTAATAAAAAATCTCTAAAATTAAGAATAAATCAATATGATCAATGATCTCAAAGGAGATCTATCAAACAATAAGAAATATATAAATAAAAAAGAACTATCAATCAAGAAGTCATGTCAGTATGCTAGCCAGTACCAATGCATAATGTATTAATACAACTTCAGTTCTATCTATCAATCAGTTCAATATACTATCATATAAATGCAATCATAAATACAATTATGAAGAGCAAGATAGGACATACAACTCTAATATAGTGTTTGCGTCCTTCAATTTGTTATCTGTCATTTCAATCAATCTATCAATCTTATCTTATATTTTGTTTATTTCTATTAATAATTTATTTTCACATGTAGTTTTCAATAATCATTTAAAAGTCGTCACTCTCTATCCGTAAACGTAATTTAATCAATCCGTTATATGCTACAACTAGGATTACGCACCAATTTTTTATTTCAAGAAAAACCTGTTGGCCACCCTCCTGTGCAGGGTATTATATTTTAAATAATGTTAATAGCTAGTCTTTCTTGCTTATATGAAAATATTATTTATTTTTGTATAATATAAGTCAATATCATGTATGAAATGCAATCATTCATAAAATACAGAAAAATTTACAAAATTTGTCTGCTATGCATTTACTTAAGAAAATCACAGCTTCTAATTTACTTGATGAAATTCAATAATATTATAGTCAAAATGCTCAAGAGGATCAAATCTGTCATATACAAAAAGTTAGACGATGTAAGTTTGCTAAAAATTAAGATATCGCAGCTTTTGTTAGTTTCGATCAAATTAATATGAAACACAAAATACATAGAACCATTAAAACGGAGGTAGGATAATGATAGCTTACCTTGAGATGAATAATTTGTTGAACTAGATAAACCGGCAAGGATATGAACTTTAACCTTGTCAAACTCCATGTTTAATCTTGCAAGAAAGTCATACATTATATATTTCTCAATAAAGCTTTTTAGGATAGCAACATCTTTTGGACCATTGGTCTCTATGCATGTGTAGTGATCAAGTTCTTGCCACAAGCCTTGAAGGAGAGTGGCATATTTAGTCACAATTTTACTTCCTATCTTGATGTTAATTTCGAAGATTTGAGTAGTATCCCGAGCTTTTGTGCAGGTTTATCTGACGATATCTCATATGTCCTTTGCAGTAGGTAGGAACATGAAAATATCACTATTTCTGGAGTCATGGAATTCCACAACCATGACATAATCATGGAGTCTGCTTCATCCCATGCCCAAAAATTAGGATCTCCTTTTGGTCCTACGTACCCCAAGGAGGCGATTCATATTTTCTCTCTTGTTTTGTAGGTCTTCACAAATTAAAACCACATTAAGTAATTATATCCATTTAAGCAATAGAAATGTTGCATATTTTGGAAGTTTCCTCTTCCTTGTTGCACCATAGAGTCCTCCATTTGGTCAAAGTTTTGTGAGGAATTAGCTTCAGACATTGCGGCATTAAAGGGCATCGATGAAGGTTATATCAATCAAGACAGCAAGGTGCAGTGCAATAATGAAGACTGTGTTAGTTATCGATAGGATATTCTTTGAAAAATTGACCAAACTATCCTTTTCCTTTATATGCCTTTCACATTAATTCTATATTCTTGTACCACGTGGGATTTAAATGTTCTGATTTCATGATTGTAGCTGGCAACCAGCATTCCATCTTCAAACTATTAAGTGCCTTTCTCATCTATTTCAAACTTCAATTATTGGACTGCTATTTATTAATTTTGGTGCAATAATTTTCTTCCGATTTATATAAATGGATAGACCAGTCATTTTTTACTTGTAAGATATTGTCATTTGGCTCAAATTCGAGGTATTTAGATTTAGTTTCTACAAAAATTGTTGCTATGTTAATGAGCTTCCAGCTGGACGCAATTGATTTTATGATTTGTTTTATGTTGCATAGTCTTCTCACCCAAGCAATGTTCAAAATATAAAGGTTTAGATAATACTACTCTCCAGATGATTTTCTTTCTATGAAGCATGAGCACTTCCAAATGGCTTCTATCTTCGTGTCTGTTTCATGAACGTGTCAGATACAAACACGGCTCCAACGTGCCCATGAACATTTTCAACTCGACAAAAAATATGTTGGATTTTATTGTAAAATTGAGCTCTAACAATTTTCAATATGGGAGGACACCGAGAGGGCATGTTTATGACATGATGGGGCATGCCTCAATTTGATATTCAAAATCGAGACTCATATTTCATACAAGGGTTTCCCTATATATGTTTCATCTCCTCCTTTTTGCATCTCAACGCCTCCACAACTCTAACCTACATCCTCTTACCCTCAAAGCCCTAGTCCATTATGGATCTCCACCTTTGCTGAAGTCGATCTCACATCTCACCCTCGAATCAATCTTGTGTCATGTCTAATATATGAAGATGACAAGATGAAGCTGAAGATGAAGAAGCAACTTATCTGGCGAGTCACATCCTCTTCTTTGCTTCAAAGCAGGATATATTCGTATATTTGAACTCGAAGCCCTATTCCCACCTTCAAACTCAAAGTGACATGCCAAAGCTGAAGTTAATAAAATGTTCAGGATTTCATTATCTTGTATAGAAGTTGAGCTATCCCAAAATACTATTGATATGAATTTGATTCCTCACAATTAAAAAAAAAAAAGATTTTAGATTTATTAGAGTTTGTATATAAACCCATGTGATTAGCTTAGGAGAAGATGGTTGGGCCATGTTGGTTCTTTGTTTCTTTGTAGTTGATTTGTCCCAAACAAACTAAAATATGTTGTCTATTTGTTCTATTTAGACTCTAATAGCTTCGTGAATCGTGCCCCTATGCCCTAGCCAGCCATCTTTGCATCTATGCCTTCACTTCAAAGCTGAAGGAAAAAAAATGCCTATTGTCTTTATTTCTTGTGGTGATTCTCTCATTTTACTTGTGTTTTGTGGCTACGTGTTATAAAGCATTTTTTGGTTATTAATCATATTTGATTTTCTTTTATCATTATAAAGTTTATTTTATGATATTATACTTCACATGTGATTTCTTTACTACATAACAGTATAAATGATATTTTTCATATTTTTTTTTATTAAGTTAAAAAACATGTCCATGACGTGTTGTATCTTACTTCTTGCAATTGTGACATACATGTCATCATGTTCGAGTTCCTCTACCTATGTTTGTGTATGTGCTTCATAGTTTTCATTATATCATGACATGTACTCTAAATGCATTTAAATTTAATGTGTCATACATTTGCATTGAGAATTGTGCTTTTAATAAGGATTGATTGCAATGCTACAGGGAAAAATTTCTGTTTTACTTGTTTTGAGATGACATAAAATGGAGTTTGCAATTATGGCCTATTACAAAACTCACAATTATCATTTTTTTTAAGGACCTCCCCCGTGAAATTAGGTTATTCCAGCAGCAGAAGTTGGAGGATCTTAAGAAGCAACAAGAGACAAAAGCTCAGTTGGCTGTCGAGCGCAAAATACTTTTGAGGGATAAAAAGATAAAGTTTTTTGGTGTGTTACATTGTGTCTGACTGGATTAATCTCTTTTCATTATGCTCTTCATGACTGGATTTATCTCCTCTCCTATTTTATGCTTACTGTTATTAGAGAGAAGAAAAGTTGAGAGAATGATAAGGCGCTTGGAGAAGCAGCAACGTGTATTATCTGAGAAAGCATCAGAAGAAAGGGTGTCGGACCAGCTTGCAAAATTTAGGGAGGATCTGGAATACATCAGGGTAAGGTTTCATTTAAGCAATAAATGAATATGTATTTTTTAAATCTCGTTGCAATCATTATATGATTCTTCATGTTAATGCTAACCTTTTATATGGAAATTTGAAAAAGGTGAAGCAGGTACAGAATTCTCTTAATTTCCGTGAATGAGTTGAAGGCATAATCCTTTTCTGCATGCATAGTCTTCTGTAATTAAGAATTTTTCATGTAAAACATGACGAATATGGTTTTGGTTTTTAAAACCTGAGAAAGAATAAAGAACATTAATAAATAAAGTGATTAAAGCTCTGTCATTTTAAAAGTTCTTATTAGCAATGAATTTTAATGCAGTTCTTTCCTAAGACAGAGAGATACGTTTCATTGTTTGTTGGAGGAGAAAATCCAAAAATTATTGATAAGAGAAATAAACTACGCAAACAAATCAAGGACAACCTAGTGGCTGCCGCTGCCAGTGGAAAAGATTTAGAAGGTAATTATGTAATCTGAGTATTGGCCGAGATTTTTTTTTTTTTTTCAATTGTAGCATCATTTTAAAGTGTTGCTTAGCGAGATAGGTTTATCTGTATGAATAATTTTTCCATTCTACTTGCCTTTAACTTTGCGATTTTTTGCTTCGCCGTGTATAGTTCATGATAGTTATCATTATCGTCATAAATTCATGATTATCTTTCATTTTCTGTATGGCAATTCGCACAATTTTGCTACATAAGCAGAAACAGGCAGTGATGATGATGTGCAAGATATGAGTGAGGATGATTTTTTTTCGGTTGGCAGTTCAAGTGATGAGGGGGAGGCAGATGATGAATGGACGGACAAAAGCACCAGGTATGGTACTGTTTAGTAGTCATTTTATGCCATAGTAGGTGTCATGCGTGAACAATTTGGCTTGATATTATCCAGTCTGTGAAACAACCTCTTTTACAAATCTGCACAATCTGAACTCAGCAGTGAAATCATGAAAACATGTGATTTGATTTTGTTTTGGCTGTGTGCTTGGACAAATTAATGTAGTGTTCCTAATATATTAGAACATTTGGGGGCGCTTGCCAAAAAAATTTCCCAATCTTCATTGTCGGTAGGTTCTCTTAGCTTTAAAGTACATAGAAATTATGCCTTGGTTCTTGTTCATTTAAAACCTATTATGTTTTAACTATTACAGAGAATCATCAGTGAAAAAATTGATTATGCTGTAAATTTATTGACAGTCAACAATAGATAAGAATGTAAACTTTCCATTTATGTTTTATTTGAATGTTGGCTTAGTCTCTCACTTAATTATTTGGAATGTCCATTGTGGTTGCAAGGTATGGAACATCATAATATGTCTTATGCAGCGCATAGAAGACAGTTTACCCCATGTGGGATATCTACATGTTGATGAAGTCAGCCTCGGCCAACTCATGTCAGCTAGGAGCTAAGATTGAGTATTGTGACTTGCATTTCTCTAGAAAGGAAATTGCAACGGATGAAATAAAGGGCAATTTGCTTATAGGTCTATCTTTATGCCATAGCAGCAATTAGGTTCAGTGTTTCATCGAAATCACCTATTAGGTTCATCAATTTGTGTCCGTTGCTAAAGGGATCCATACCTCACTATTGGCTCTCAATAAAATCCATGTGATCCAGCACATGATATGCCACAATACTTTTGGGTTTTGTTTTCCAACCACAATGCAGCTCTCCCATCTTCTTCATGATGTTCAATAGCCAAAATTTGCTAACATATTAGAACTAAATGTTTTGGACCTGACCCCTACTCAAACAATGCCCTCTTTCATTGAATTAACCACACGAATTGGGTTTGTGACACCTTTCTTCCCTTGATATGGTACCTGAAAGAAAGTTTGATGGCTCTCTTTATTTCTGTTTAATCTCTCTCCAATAGTTTCTGATCAAAACCTTGAATTAGGAACCAGGAAAGCTCCACTTCTTATCTACTCAAGAAGGAGAGCAACTATTTCAAGACTTGGGCAAATCCGAGTATCCAAGCTAGGTGTCAAACTCGTTTCTTCCCTATGCTGATATAGATCTTATGGATAAATCAAGAATTGACTTAGACTTGCCCATTGTTGTAAGGAGAAGAGCAGATGTTGCACCCAATATCACATCTCTTTGTGTCCTTCTAGAGATTATGCACTCAAGATAAAAGTTTCCTTGCTAAAATTAATTGCATCGACTTCTTTAAGCTCTAACAGAGACACTTAAGGATAAGAACTTAGAACAAGCTCTGAGAGAAAAAAATGAGAGCACTTAAAAAGAATGGTTCATTAGAATTTGTTGACTTACAAAATGGAAAAAGATTAGTGGGATGTAAATGGGTGTGCACAGTAAAATAAAAAGTTGATGGGTCCTAAGAATGATACAAAACTAAGCTTATTGTAATGGATAATCCAAACCTATGGAATAGTATTAAGAAAAGTTTTCTTTTGTGGCAAAAATGAATAACATACAACTTCAATTTTCATATGGAATCTACTACAGTTTGATGTTAAATGCCTCCTTGCATGGACAATTAGAGGATGTGCTTATATTAAAGAGTGTAGGCACACAAGGAGCATGAATAGGATTTGTAACATATGCTTGAATTTCATTTAAATTTCTTTCCAACTCGAACCACACAATAAGCATGCATACATTAACTAATCAAACAATCAAGCAAAAAATACAAGCCAATTAAGATGAATGAAGCGTATATGATATTTTATACTACTACAATAACAACAAGCCTCTATCCCATTACGTGGGGACGACTGTAAGATATCTTATACTAATTAGTGAGTAATCAAACTATACAAACACAATGATATTGATTCTACTTACTGAACTTAACACATAAGCTTGTAAGCAAGATACAACCTACAAGTTATGCAAAAGTTAAGTGTCTATGATATTAAATTAAGAATAAGTTAAGTGAGTGAGTATATGATTAGTAAGCATGATGCTTATTGATCTAGTCAATAGCACAAACTAATCTCCTAAATAATCAAGCATCAAAGCCACATCAGTGTCCACACAAACAATGATGATTATAAAAACTTGATGTTAATGATTAGTATGGACATTTGTTTGACCTCACTTAGACATTCACCCAAACTATTAAGTAATTAAATGTTCAAAAATATAAATCTAATTAAAGAGCAAGTTGGAAATGATATATATTCAGCACTTAATCAGCCTACATCCTAGCTTAAGCACCAAAAAATTAGGATTTAACTATCCTTACTCCTCATGTGAAGACGTCCTCTCCTTAACAAAGGAATAGCTAATGTACCGTGTTCTCGTATTCCTAATGAACACATTCACAACTACCTTAACATTCAAGAGAAACTCAAAATTAATATACAAATGATTTGTCTTTCAAAATCTTCTAAGGCTTTGGTGGTTTATAGAGCTGAAGTCATACAAATCTAAAGTACACAATCTCTACTGTATGTTTGTAAGATAAGCACATAAAAATCACAATTTAGAAACTATGATATTGAGAGTGAGAGGTGCATTACTTGAAAGAACCTAGGAAAATTTTCTTTATGATTAACAATTTGGTCTTCCTCCAAAATGATTGTGAACCATTTAAGCTTATAATCTCCTCCTTTCATATGTTTTATGGTTGTTCAAAGTCTCCATTATTTATTAGCCAAGATTGCAAGGAAAGAGGGCAAGAATTATGCTCACCCAGCTAGCCTTAATTACGAAATGCCATTGTAGTCATTAAACTAGTTTGTGGTGACTTGCTAACAAGTTTGCGTGGACCTATAAACTTCTTTCTGGAGTTCTAAAAATTTGGTCGGATTATACTTTGCAAAGTTATGCAAACCTGCACAAAGTGAGATTATAAAATGGATTTGTTGGGATCTACTAAGTGAAAATGAACCTAGTAAAAATATGTACAATATATAACCTATTTTATTTATAATTAATATCTAAATCATATAAACATTTTATAACTTTTTTTAATAATTAAAGTAGTCATTTACGTATAAATAATTGTAATTAATTTTTATCAGAGTGTTCATCATTCCTTAGATCACTTGGTAAAACAAATTCAATCAATATAATAAATAACACACTAGACTTGTTGATCTTAGATTTTCACTTTGCACATGATTCTTCTTGAAGGCACCTTGATTTTGTCTTCAGGTAGCAAATACTCCAACCTTTAGCCTAGTGGAACTTGTCATCCTCTCTATGATTTAGCTAATCAATGAATAATTTTTGAGGAACTTGCAAGTCATTAGATGTCACACTATAATGTTTGTCGTATCAATTCCCTAATGAGCCGTTAACAATTATGATGATCATTATGACTGATGGATGCAACAATTTTCCCTTATTTGATGATGGAAAATTGATGTTGGTGCTAATGAGATAATATAATATCATATAAACTTAAGCTCTCTCTCACTAGATTCATAAAATAAATATACTTCTCCTAATAACATGCATCCTACTAACATCACCAATAATATACATGAACATAACAAATCTCGCCATTTGACTTCATCAAAAGGGTTCACTATGAATTCTAAGGTTTGTGAAATCACAAATGATTTTTCTCTTCCTTACTACAATTCTCCCCTATTTAAAATTACTAGCATGCAAATAGTGAGCAATAAAAAACATGCTAAACTTAAACACAAGAAGAATACATTATCTTTAATACCTAGTTATTAATAGAAAATTATGATACCAATTTTTGAATGATAAGTATAAATTCATTGATCTTCAAAGGAAATATAACATAAAAAAAAACTAATCATGCAAGAGGATCATGATACCTAAAAAATTTCTTTCCAAATGAGATACATAGGCTAATCATGAAATTAATTCATTTTGAGCCAATCATACTACATTCAATAGCTAACATGAGTGATAAGTATATAAATTGAAATACGTAAGCTAGTGATCATTTAGAATGTTCTTATGTTCATAGTGTGAAGTTAAATGGTGACTAATGGCGGAGAGTTAAAATGCAATGGGGTTAACTATTTTGTGCAGTGAGAGTTGGTGAGTGATAATGATGCAAAGGAGTAGATCTCCGGTTATAGGGTTGGTTGGCCATGGAAATCATTGGAGGGATGTGGCAAAAGAGTTTGTTGCTAAAGGTACACTGGCATATGACAGAAGAGTTTCTTACAAGCATACATGGGAAAAAACCTCAGAAGGGGATGCTAAGAATTGGTGTCTTTGTGTGTAGCATAGCGTGCACTAGAGTTTGAACCATGGATTCACCTGATTTCATGGGATGTATGGTGGTTGTGTGCGAGAGTCAATTAGGGAGATGTAGGGCTAGCAAAGTCACTATGGCAAAGAAAGAGAGATGGAGCAATTGAAAGCGCACAGGTGAGGAGTTGAGGCAGACACATGTTGGAGAGGGAATCATAGAGGGTGGTGATTCATCAGACTGGCGATAGGCATGGGCTTTACTAGCGTGAGAGAAGGGGATAGTAGGTGAGTGGGGTTTGCTTGCGGAAAAATGAATCATGAGATTGAGCCTGTGGCATGAGAAGGACTACAATATACCTAAGGTGCGTGCTTGATGTGCTTATGTGATTCATCTTTATGGATAATCGATAATTATTATGTCCCATTCGCTAGCATAGTGCATGAAATTTTTGGGTTGATAATGACAGGCGCGCATGAAGATCAAGCTACATCACTACATCTTCCATGATTGATTGTGGATTTTGATGTTAGCTTGGCTTGAGTCTTTGAGGTTTTGATTAGAGTTATTTGTTACATAGCTTCTAACAAAATCTTAATTCTAAGCTAGAATCTAGGAGTCAATTTACTCCTTTGCTTTCAGAGTGTTGAATTGGATTCTAGTA